ACATGTGTTTAGTGAATGTCTGCTATGTGTTTCTGGCACCCGTGCCAAGTTTTTAGAGATTTCAGACATCTTAAGGATGCAAATTCTTGTTTGGATTTATGCTCCAACTCTTCCCAGCATTTTCTTATCTGTAGCCCTGCTTGCTTTAGAGTATGCTTGAATAAAAAAGCATTGCTGCTGAGGCAGCTATAAAAAAAAAAAAAGGTACTTCTTCCAGAATTAAGGAACTCATCTTTAAAGCACCTTCAAATGAATTTTTTTCCATCTGGTTTTGAGGTGGAGTCAAAATAAGTGGTCTTTTATTTTTGCTGTTTGGGTTACCAGCTCTTTGGGTCTGTCAGACCTTAGGGGTATCATGTATCTTGGCTGCTTGAAGCCTGGGCCCTCAGCCCTTAACATTCCCCTCCAGACGGGAGGCCCGGTGCTTTTCTCTCTGGGTCAAAACTTCCCCTTATCATGTTTCTGGACTACATGATAAGGGGAGCTATTTATTAATCTGCGAAACCCAATCTCTTACCTGCCCATGATATCTAGGAGGGGGTAGTATTTGTTTTAAAGAAGCGTTGTCAAAAAAAACAACAAAAAAAGAAGCGTTGTTTCCTTGGGAGGGCAATTTCTGTCTGGACTTTGAAGGGGGCGTAGTTACCACACATTACTATCCCCACCACCACCACGTTCTTTACCTCTCTCCCAGCTTTTGATAAAAGATGACATCAGATCTTGAGGCAGTTGGGTCACAATTCTTTAGAATGCTTATACCCCAGGGGCGTTTCCTGTTCTAGTCATGTTTTTCCAGTTGAGTATTGGCGTTTCCCTGAGGCTTGCTCACAGACATTTCTGATTGAAGACTAAGGCTGGTTGATACAGTCATTACTGTCACCTTTCCCACCCTCTGGAATTTACATTTCTTTCTCTGGGCTGGTCCTGGAAGTTGACACCTTTTGGCAAAGCTTAGATTTAGGAGACTTTCAAGTCCCTGTTCAGATGATCTGTGGTTTCTCTTTGCTTCCTCTGCCTGCAGCCCTGGCAGACCATACTGTCCGGATCCCCAATGGAAAATAGTACTGAGATGAAACACATTCCTGGGGTATTTAACCTCTCTCTGCCACCTTTCTAAGAGTGGGAGGCTGGCAGAGAGATGCTGCAGTGCTTGATAATCATTTGGCCACGTTGAAATTTCCAAAGGGAGCTCTTGCCTGTGCTTAAACCCAAAATTCCTGAACACCTGAGATTGCATGAATCTAGCACAGAATATCCATTCTTGCCCCAATGTACCCCGTTCGTCTCCATCTTAATCTTTAAAACAAAACAAAAAACCCAAGCCCAGGCCAAGGGTCATTTTTACTTGAAACCAGGAGAGTGGGGGAGTAACACGAGAGATGAGGGGCAAGCTGTGTGGTGAGGCATCCTGCTCCTGGTGTGTGTTCCAATCACTGAGGACTGTGAGCCAGTGCCTTTCCTTCGCCTGGAGATGGAGCCCATCTCTTGCCACCTGGGTGAGGAGATCCTCTGCTACCCAGGGGCGAACCTTAAAGAGGGTGTCTTGGAGAGCCCAGAGGACACTCACATTTTTCGGGTGTCCATTTTAAGAATCTTTAAAATGTTTTATATATTAAAAAAAAAAAAAGTTCTTCCGTGTCTTTGTGCCACCAGTGGCCCAGTTCCATCCATTCTGAATGGAAAAGCAGAGACTGCCAGTACTTTCCTTGGTCTTCCCTTCGTCTCCCTTAATGTGGGTATCCTCTTACCCGGCCTGTCCAATTCACTGTCGTGGATGGAGAACAGAGGGCACCACGCAGTCCTGAGGCAGAGTCCTGTGTGACTCCGTGATCAGGTTTTTGTTTCTTGTTTTTCTAACTGTCCTTCCAAACCAGCAAGTGTTTGGAAATTAGGGGGAAAGTTAAATTCTCACCAATGGTTGCTGTAACACTTGAATCAATAAAGATCTTGAGTATCAACTTGGTGTTTTTAATTTTTTTTTTTTTTAAATTTCAGGTGAAATCCTGTTGACACATTTTGGGCATCTTGCCTGGTGAGGAAGATGGGCAAAGGCAGTTGGCCACTTCATGTGTCAGTTCCTCTCAACATTTACGGAGCACTTTGTCCATCTGGCCCTGTATGTGTCACGAGGTGATGTGTTCCTTCCCTAAGGAGCTTGGAGGTGAACACATACATGCTGGGGCTGGATGCACCCAAGAAGGCCCTTCTTTAGGTACCAGCCTGGAGGAAGCCCAGACAACAGCTTTCCTGACGAGGGCTGCCTCTGCCCCTCAGGAGCACTTGTTAGAAATCCATCATATCTGATGTCTGAAAATAAACTAGACTCTGCTGCGTGAGCATCACATTCCTTGCTATTATTAATCCATTGAGGCTCACATTAGTATTGAGAGCAAGAATCCTGTCCTTTCAAGAATCCTGTGGACCATGTGAACAGGTCCATAGAACAAAACAGTGTAGAGATTTAGAGCACAGGCTTTGGAGTGAGATAGGCTTGAATTCCTTCTGTACCACTTAGTAGCAGCCACATTCTCTCCGACAGGATTCCCAGTCTCTGTAACCTTTGGTGTCCTTCTCTAAAATAGGGTTAAGTTAAGAAGTAGGTCTTACCTGGGTGACTGGGCTCAGGTGGGATCATGGCAAGCACTTAGCCCAGTGGCTGGTATGTCAAGAGCTCAGTTACAGCTCAGTTGGTGTGACCAGTAGAGGTGGGTCAGCTGGGTCTGCCCTTCCCCAGAATGCAAGTTTGGGAGTGGAGCAGGCTTGTGTGACCCCTGGAAGGGTGAAATAATCTCTTCAAGGGAAGATAATCCTGAAAGCCATTTCACATATCCTTTACTTTGCCCCAAAGGCAAATAGGGTATCAACTTGAAAGGCAATTTAGGATAGAGGGTTAAGGCTTTTACTGCTAGTAAAAGGGGAGACTACATGACGGAGATTAACCCGACTGTGTTGCTGTGTGAGAGTCACAGCGGCTTCCCAGTTTCTGCTTTTATCTTTTCTCTACTCCTCCCTGTACCAGGCCCGCCCACTTCCCCAGCCAAGGAGAGTAATGCATCCGATTTCCCCCAATCAGCTACTGACTTGGCACTGCTACAGGAAGGAGACCTTTGCCTTCAGAGCAAGTTAAAATACCTCTGACTGAAAGCCCCTTCCTGGCCCTCAGGGTAGGGCAGGACTCAGTTCCCATAGGCAGCATTTCCTCAGACTTAACAAAGCCTGCACTAGTAGGTAGGTTCCAGAGCACGGAGCTGTGTTGTAGGCTCAGCCCCAAATACCTCTGGACAGGCAGCAGAAGGCCCCTGCCGCTGACACACTGCACAGTGAGCTTTTAGCAGGGGTCAGCAAAACGTCCTTTCACTCCTTTGTGCCTGCGTCCTCTGCTTGATATGAGGTGGTGTCCTGTCATCAGTGGGGTTTGTTCTGTGAGTTGGTAGAGCTGCTAACTGTAAACACTCCCACAAGCTATAGCCACAAATAGCTTGACCTTTCGATTTCCTGGCCCCAGCCATAGAAGAACAGTTGGGCACCCATTTAGTACAGAGGATGCTCTACTTGGCCCTGCCACTCCTAGCTGTAGCATCAGGCCACTAGGCCTCACTGGGGTCTCATTTAGGAAGGGGGATGGTACAAAAATTGACCTCACAAGGTCTCCCCAGCTCTACTGTTTTCTAAGCAGAGTCAAATGCAGAATCCTATTGTGATTCTGAATTGTGGGGAGGGCAGGTTATTTCCGCTCCAGGGAATGAGCAACTGGATCAGTTTTGTTGCTGAATCAGGGAGGGCATTGAGGTTTCTCAGGCCCAGGCCTGGCTCTAGCCTAGCCAACCCCTTCGTGGGCCACAATTACTACCTTGACTCAACCAAGTCAAGTTTGAGTCCCCTCTAAACAAGTATTCCCACAAGATTGGAATCATTTTTCCTAAGGTTGGAGCATTAGTTTATGGGCTTCTTAGGAAAGCAGGGTAAGTTTACTGTGGACTGACATTCCCAATAAAATGGTCCCCTTGCCTTGCCAAACAAAAAAAATAATAGCCCCTGTTTTGGCAGTGCTCAATGAGGTCAGCTGGCGAGAGAAAAGAAGAATCACAGAAATGCACTAGGATCCGCCTGCTTTAATTTCACAAGATGAGGTTGAGCAGTGAATTACTCACCGGAGGTCACATAGCTTCTCAGTGGCTGAGATGCGACCATAACGCAAGTCTGCCACCCAGGGCAGTGTCTTCACGCTATGGATAGGAAGCCCAAGGGGCCTCATTAATAGCACGCATTGACAGACTGATGTCGAGAGAGCTTTAGTCGACTTGGATGGATTGTGCACGCCAAAGCAAACTGACTTGGGGACGCCCTAGGGCTCCAGCTTCTGTAGTCCAACGTGGCCAGCTCTCTTGGACGAGTTCCTGCCTCACCCTTCAAAGGCACCAGCTGGCCTAGGAGAGCTATACAATGGCTTTATTGTATGTACAACTCATTAGCAGAGATCCACTCTGCAGGGGCTCCCTGACCCAGCCTGAGGCAACCAAAGCCAATAGACTTTTTCATTTTACATAGCGATACTTAATCTTCAGGCGGCAAGGGTGTGGGTGGGTGTATGTCAAAGGCCACTTTTGAGAATACACAAAAGTTAAATACAACCTTGTCCCACCTCAAAAATAAATGCACATATGCTCCAGCTCTTGCATACAATTTCCGCGGGATCATGGGTTGAAAAAAGTCAGCTAGAGGACTCTTGCACTAGTGCTTTCACATGCTACTGTCTGTTCAGCAAAGAGAAAACCCAGCAAGCCTGCTTCACAGGCTTCCTCCTCCCTCTCTGTGCTCAACCAGACCCCACAGAGCCTTCAAGGACAGGGTGGCAGCCCTTCTTCCTCCTTAGGTCTGGTGGACAGAGGGACTTTTCCCCCTCTTTGTTTCTCCTCATTGGATTAGATGGTTATCTTGTCTTCTAGGAGCTTCCCAACCTTCCAGGGTACAGGCAAATCCAACACACCTGCAGGAGCTCCTCAAAGGCACCCACATTCTTCCACAATCATGTCTTTATGATGGTCTAGAAGGACTCGGCCATTGTCCACATACAGCATACTCAAGGGCTTGGTCTTCACTGGGGCACAGCAGGTGGAAGGGACTCGGTGGGGTTGGTACCGTTTCAGCAGACTCTGAAAGGGAGGACAGGGGGGTCAATTCACATCCCAGTGGTGAGGTCAGAATGGTGTCATTTCTGGGTAAAGGGTGAAAAAGTTAGAGTTAAAATCAGTTTCTGGGGGCAAAAATAGAAAATTCTTTTCATAAAGGAATCAGAATGCCAATACATCATCAACTCTAATATCTAAAGGTACGTGGGCCTCTCACTGTTGTGGCCTTTCCCGCTGCGGAGCACAGGCTCCGGACGCGCAGGCTCAGCGGCCATGGCTCACGGGCCTAGCCGCTCCACGGCATGTGGGATCTTCCCAGACCAGGGCCCGAACCCGTGTCCACTGTATCGGCAGGCGGACTCTCAACCACTGCGCCACCAGGGAAGCACTAAAATAACTTTTTTTAAACAGCGTTTAAACAGAAGATTCTAAAAGTTGTATCTGGGTAGAGCAGTAGGTAACATATGTTCTCCTATTGTTCTAGTCTAGAGTGAATACCAACTTTAAAAATCTTCCAAGAAACTCCTGGTTTAGTTCCAGAAATATGAAGAAGAGAGTCATGTGGAAATTCTTGTGGGATTTGCTTTGTTGCCCAGAGAAGGGCAAACAGAGTCAACGGGAGAAAAGGTAACAAGCCCTTGGCATTCTGGAACTGGGCCCTGTCCCTGTGGTCCAGTGGTGGCTTTTCGGGTCAGTGTTAGATTTGGTGACTGGGACTATCTGGGTCTCTGGTTCCCTCTGATCATGCTGCAGGTAGGCTGGTGGACAGAAGTGGGGCCTGGGAGAGACTCAGGAGGGCCTGTGCCCAGGACAGGTCCTCTAGAATACCAGCCCCCACCACTGCCTCCCTCTCACGAGCTCAGCTCACATTCTCCCCAGAGCCTCTGGACCCTGCCTGAGGCTTAGCATGGAGGATGTACTACAGGTCCAAGAGATTCTCAGTCTAGGCCTCATAGAGTGAAAATAAAAACACTTTGATCCCGTGTGACCTTTGAGAGCAGGTCAGGACCACCATATATAAGCTCTCTTCTCTGCTTTCTCCACCTCATTTTCCTTCCATTTCTCTCCCTCCACCACCTTCTAGACCATAGGCTGATTAGTGGCACCTGGTGGTAGCCTCTGGCTTTATTACTGCTGCAAAATGGGTGTCCAGCTCCTGTTTTTAGGCAGAAGAAGTACAGCGGCTGGAACAGTAATATCTCTACCTTGGCCTCATAAACGCGGCCCCCATTGCATCAATGAGTTACAGACTTCCAGTAATGGTAAGACAGCATTATACCTGTTACCTGCTAACTATTGATACTACATATGTGGTATGCATATCATCTCATGTAACCCTAGAAGTATGGCATTGCTATCCCCATTTTACAGGTGAGGAGACTGAGGCTCAGAGAGTAAGCAACTTGATCAATATCACATAGCTAATGAGTAGGATTCAAACCCAGGCCTGTCTATTCCCAAGCTCCAAATTCTGAGCTTCCTTTCCTAGAATGTCAGGGCAGTGGGAGGAACTGAGACCCTCCAGTCTACACGCTCCACCCCTAATTTTTTAAATTTATTTTATTTTTTTCCACCCCTAATTTTATGACAGAAGGAAAAAGTCCCAGGAAAGCAGTGTGTTCAGGGTCACCCGACAAGGCATGACTCCATGTAGGCTCTCTGAGGATGTTATCATTGGTCCTCTCTATATCCTCAAAACCTGTCACAGAACCTGGCACATTGTAGGTGCTCGAATAACTGTGCATGAATGAACACAGTAACCTAACAGCAAAGCCAGTGTCCTGATCTGGTAGTAAGGACAATTCTCCCCCACAGCTTACCACCTCCCCTCCCCAGGCCTTGGCATCACACCTGGATGTATGCGTGGTTGGTTGGATGGAACTCTTCCCCCACGGGGTTAGGACACTCGCCCTCACAGCGATAGGCATTGTACTGCTTGGGGTAGATGATCCAGGAGCCCCATCCGATCAGGTTGAAGTCCACCTGGAACTTGACCTTCCGACACAGTTGGTTTCTGTCCTGCAAGTGATATCGACGGTGCCTCCTGGCCCTCTCCCGGGAGAGCTGTCCCTCCTGGACCCGCCAGGAGCTCTCAGCTTCCCACAATAGGGTGGAGCCACCCAGCCTCTTCCGCTCTGGGGAGAGGTTGGAATAGAGCATGAGGAGCACATTGGTGACAGGTGGTGTGGGGGGCCGCCGCCAGCACTCTCCAGCCAAACTGGACATCTGCTCCCTCAGCTCCCCAGGGTGCTTCAGCCACTTGGAGAGTGGCCTGGTCACCTCTAGGACCATGCTGCCCAAGGAAAAGGTAACCTGGGACAGAGTGACAGTGAAGAGGTCCATTCGAAGACGTTCTGGGCAGTTGGGTGGGTCCTTATCCTCATTCAGCTTTGGCTGGTGGAAAATCTCAATTGAGAGTGGGACATCAGGAGTAAGGGCCACAGGGCTGGACAGCTGCAGCCGGAGCTCGGCCCATGCCAGATCCTCTTCTTGGCCCAGGAAGGAGAAGTCAAAAGCGAAGGTCCAGTTCTGCCCATCCACCTCCACATCTGGGTGAGAAAAAAACAGAAGGAAGCAGGTGAGTGGGGGCCTCCTGCAGCCTCAATTGGTGTAACAACCACCATAGCTCATGACTGAGCCCTTACCTTATATGAATCGTCACCCTAACCCTATGAGCTGGGCATGTTATTGAACCCATTTTAGAGATGAGGAAAATTGAGGCTCAGAGAGGTTAAATTACCTCCGTGAGGTGTCATTCTTGGAAGGTCGCAAAGCCAAGAATAAGCCCAACTGCAAAGCCCAACCTCCAAATCACTGTTCTGCTGCTCCCCCTCAAGACACTCCAGAGAACAATTGGTAAAAATTGGATGAGTTCGTCTCCTTCTCCCTTCTCCCCTCACACACGCAATCTAAGGACAAGCCCTGAGCTTTCTGACAGAAATTCTGGACTTCCACCCACCCTGTGGCCCGCTTGCCAGGCTTTGTCTTCTCATTGGAAAGGGTGGCCTGTTTTACAGCACAATGAGGTCGATTCACAGATCATAACGGTTGGAGCTCCCAGGGAGGCATAGGCAATGGAAGCCAAAGACTGGTCACCCTTTCCCCCACCAATTCCTAAAGACAGAGGCAGATACTTCAAGAGTTCTTGGCAACCTTACAAATAGGTTTCTAAAGACGTTCTAAGCTTGACTGTGCACTGACCTTGCACTTTTCCACCCAGTGATCTCTCCTACCTACCTGCAGGGCGCTCACCCTTTCCCACTGCAGGTCATCCACACACCAGGGCAGACACAGCAAGCACACACCCAAGACAATTAAACCCATCCTGAATGAAAAGGAATGGGGAAGCACATTCTATTTATTTTAGTTCTGGACTAATGTGGTCTGATGTCTGGGAATAGCACATATTGGTGGATTTTTCAGGTCAGCTAAAAGTGATCTTTAACTTTTTTCAAGCCTTTTCATCTTTGCAGTGGGAATAGTAATGCCCTACCCTTCCCTGCACTGTCATGAGGACCCAGGGAAATGAAGATGTTTCAAGGTCTATTGCTAAATAAAAGGCATAGGTTATTCATTAGAAATAAAAACAGTAACCCTTTGGTGAATCAGTCCCGAAGGTAGTGATCTCTGACTTAGGTCCACTCTGGGCAGACCACATAAGAGTTTTGTTTTTTTGGTTCTTTGTCTCATAGAACATCTTTGGTCGGATAGTCAGTGGATTTCTCTGGGAAGTCCAGCCTGCATTAGAAGGGTGTAATTCCCAGCTTCAGCATCCTGAAGCTTCTCCCAGCCCATGCCTAGATGTTCTTTTTCACTTAATTTCCACTTCCCTTCTCATTAGCACCTGCAGGAGGCAATAACCGGCCCCTGACTAGCAACTCCCCCGAGGTGTGGGGAGAAGGCTGACACCACCCACTGCCCTTCGCAGCACCACCCCGTGACATGTAGCAACTCTACAGCTCCGCCTACACCAGGACTTAAAACACACTATCTCAAGTATCCACAAATGGCTTTTTAGAGGCATTCCAGCTCAGCGTTTCAGAGGAGGGACCCGGTGTCTCCCGTGACGGATCAAGTTCTGCCACTTGCTGCCACACTGGGCAGCCAGCTTTCTCTGGGCCTCAGTTTCCCTCTGGGTAAAAGGGAGGTGGTAACAGTATCCACCTCACAGGGGTGTTGAGATTTACTGAGATAATGTGTGTAAAGTGCTTTGCCCAGCACAACCACCAAAGTGCAATAAACAGCCATCATCAACTGCCTCCTTATTATTACCCAAGTCCAAGTTAGAAATGAAGATGTCCAGGCAGTGAGGGACCTGGACAGGGGAACAAAGTCATCTGCTGCTGGGATGGCAGTGTGGATACAGGGGCAGGGAGGAGGTTACTCCTTCCTGCTGGAAGAGTCTGAGACCCCACTACCCTACCTGCAGCCAAGGGCTCCCCAGGACACAGTGCTAAAAGGTTTTCTTAGATCTGGCTCTAGTTCATCTCAGAATAATGGAGAGGTCTAATCTTTGAGGGTCACCAATGCCTGATAAAAGCCAAGAATGCTCTCCCCAGAAAAACTGCATTTCCTACTAACACAATAAATGTGATTTGGGGCTGGTTATAAGAAAGGGGTTCATGGACACCCTGAAACCCATCCACAGACTGAATGCAGACTTGGCCACACGGGCCCCAGCGAAATCTCGACCCACTTCCAATTCTAAAGAAGGAAGGGCTCATGATCTTGGGTTCCTTTCCCCTCAAACAGGGTGTTGAGTCAGGGACTCTGTAGAAAAAGAGGGTGAGTATGACACCGAGTTCCCACCCTACATTATTATAAATTATGAGGGTGATTACCATTAACTGCTTCCCTCATGCCAAGTGTTTTATATGTCTCCTTAAATCCTCCCCACCTTTATCACCATTTTGCAGATGGAGAAACTAAGGTCCAAGGTGAAGATGGTTAAACAGTGAAAGACACAGACACGGATGCACAACTGATTTGGTTAGATTCCAACACCCATTTCCCCTTATCCTGTGCAGCTTGCAAATAAACCCGAGATGGAAAGGTACCACACTCACACAAATGAGGTAGAAAGAAAGCCAGGCACTTAATTTTTACAAACGGGGAGGAGACTAGAAAAGTCAGCTGATGTGCCAGGGACACATGGGGAATTGGGAAGCAGGGTTTGAGGGACCAGACCCAGTTTCCCAGACTCCCAGACTGTCAAATCACCACAAACCTTCCGGAACTCTCTGGAAGGAGGGAGTGAATTGGAAAAGTGCGCCTCCCACTCTTTGCTCATCCACCTACCCCGCAACCCCAACTTTCTGGCAGGGCAGAGCACTCCAGTAATTTTCAAATTGCTCCTCCTCCTGTGCGTCCCTAGTCTGACTAGTCCCCAGATGACCCTTCCGGAGAGGGTCACTGGCCGTCTGACCCCAGACGCGGCTGGCCAGGGAGCTAGGAGCCCCCCACCCCCAGATCACAAGGGGCCGGCGGGTGGCCGTCAAATCAGATTATCGGATGTGGATTTCGCCCGAACTCCGGGGAGGGCCGTCTGGCCCCGGCAAGCAGAGAGAGGTGCAGGCAGGCAGGGGCCACCCCGGGCGCTGGGATGTGGATTGCCCGGAGTAGAGGAGCCCCGCGGGAAGGGCTCCCTCTTCTCAACATCTACCTGCGCCCAGTGCCCAGAACGTACGCTGCCCCATCCTCGCGGCTGATACTCTCAAGGTCACCATGGGAGTGACCTCGCCCGCTCCAAATCTAGGCCCCGAGCCCGGTGTCGTCCGGGACACTGACACCTACCCCGCCTGGGTTGGATGACCCAAGCCTGCCGCAGTTCTCGACTTCGGGGCATTTCATCTCTAATCCATAATTTCTGAAACCTAATCCCTGATGTTACATGCTTGACACCATAGTTTGAACCTCAGTCTCAGCCTGAGACACTCCCAACGCCAGACCCCGGGACGCATTCACCCTCACTCGCGAAAAGAAAAAAAAAATTTTGACAAGACAAAATCATTGTAGCAATAATAACGACCATACATTACTATGCCTGGTTTTGTGCTAAGCGTTCTATGTGCGTTGTCCGTAGCTCTCGCCAGTCCGATAAGGGAGGCACTATTATCCCTATGCTACAGATGTGCAAACCGAGGCGCCCGGAGATTACAGTAGTTTAAGACGGCACCGATAAGCAGTGGCACAATCAGTCTTCCACCCTATAGTCCCGCGCTTTACCCACCCTAAACAAGACCGGAACGCAGAGGTCTCAGTCCGGGACACACCCCGGGTGCCACCAACCCTGTCTCCCGAGCCAACGCAGACGCCGAGACACCGTCAGCCCCAGCCCCTGAACGTGCCCTTCAAGCGTGCGGATACGTTTTCAGTGGCACGTCTCCGGCACGGTGCCGCAGCCCCTGCCCCTCCAGCCCTCTCCCGGAGTCCAGCGCGGGAGCGCCCAAGGCGCGCCGGGGGTCCCGCCGAGCGGAGCGGGGCGGGGCGAGGCGGGGCGAGGCGAGCCGGGGAGGGGCGGGGCGGG